AATAGCAGGGGGGAATCGGAGATGGAAGGGAGGAGGAGAACATACCTGTGGCGGATGGAGTTGCAGTGCCCGGCGAGAAGATGTGTGGCGGCGAGCAAGAAAGGGAGTTGCGAGAAAATCGAAGGTTGGGGAAGGGGAGCTGCGAGAAAATCGAAAGTTGGGGAATGGGTAATACTAGTGGAGTCGGGAAGGAGAAAAGCCTAAAACCCCTAATCCAAAACCTAACATTGTGTTTGGATGGAGGGAGGTGAAGGTAGGATTAGGTAGAAAATAAAATCTACCTTGTTTGGGGAAGAAACTGATATAGGTGAGGGGAGGTGAATGGAGGTAGCTTCACCGTGTAACAGTGAAATTTAGGCTACCGTACATTTCGGGAAACACCACGGTCATCAGATTCCCTTCCGATGTTGCCCTTCGCAAGCCGCTCCTGAGATTCCTTCGCTCTCCGATCTCAGATCCCTTTGCTAGCTGTATCCGATCTCCGATCTCAAATCCCTTCGCTCACCAGCTCCTCTCCAGCGGTAGATTCTTCCTCTCCCTTCGATTTTTATCTTTTTTTCTGGTTTCTTTTCTGCCGTTTTTTTTTTGTTCTTTTTTTTTCGTTTTTTTGTTTCTGCATTCTTTTTCATTTTTGCTGTGTTGTTGTGGTTTTTTATTTTTCGTTTGTTTTTATTATGGTTTATTGCTGTTTTTTGTTATTTATATAAAATTGTTGTTTTTTGTGTTAGTTTTTGGTTTGCTCTTTTTTTCTTTTTTGCTAATATTTTCTATTTTTCGCTATGTAATTTAATTTCATGTTTTTTTATGGTTTTTTCTTTTTTTCCTGTAATTTGAATATTTATTGAAATATACTATTTTGTTTTTCAAATTTTTTTAGCCTTTTTTTTGCAATATGAGGTTTTCCATGTTGATGGCATTCCGGCCGGTGGATTTGTAATCGTACGACAATCGTGGTTGTCGGAGTACTGGTCACAGAGATGCTCGCCGTATCGAAATCCGATCATCCAAGCACGAGAGTATTTAAGTAATTTTATTGTTTACTTACCTCACATTATCTAATAAATACCCAAACTCAAATTTTCAATTTATTACCTTACCTTACTTACCTTACTTTACCTACATTTCATTATCTACCTAATAAAATTTTACCTTCATCAATCCAAACACACTCTAACCTCTAACGATGTGTTTGGTTTGAGGTAAGGTGAGGTAGAATGAGGTGAGATTCAATCTTTACCTTGTTTGGGAGAAAAAATTAAGGAAGGTAAGAGGAGGTGGAGGAAGGTATGGTGACCGCTAAACAGTGAAAAATCTGGTTCCGCGGAAAAGGCGAGCAACCAAGGTAAAATTTTTGGTTCCGCTGCTCTGCCCTTCTCTTTTTTTCCTGCGATTCCTTCCTCTCCCATCGCCTTATTGTCCGCTGCTTCCTTGTAAAATTTCTGCCGCTGCTTTCTTTCTGCGATTGGCCCCCTCTGCCATAGGGTGAGGTCTCAATTTTTTTCCTTTTTTTTTGCTTTTCTTTTTTTTCTGTTTTTGTGTTTTTTTGCTGTTTTTTTTCTAATTATTGTATTAACATGCTTTGTGTTTTTCTGGTTTTTTAATGTTTTTTTTCCGGTTTTGTTTTAAAATCTTTTGGGGTTTTTTCGCTGTTTTTTTGTTTTATTTTTTTGCCGTTTTTTCTTTATGCTTTTTTTCTGATTTTTTTTGCTGTTTTTTCCATTTTTTGCTATGTATTTTAATATCATTTTTATGTTTTTTTCCTTTTCTTTTACCTATTTTTTCAATATTTATTGAAATATATTGTTTTGTTTTTCAATTTTTTTTGGCTGTTTGTTTTTTTTCAATATGAATTTTTCCTTGGAGATGGCATTCTGGCTCAGTGGATTTGTAGTCATATAAATACATCTTAAAGAAATAAGGAAAAACAATCATAAGGATATTTTAGTAATTTTATTCTTTTCCTACCTTACGTTACCTATTAAACATCCAAACACAATTTTTTAACTCATTACCTTACTTTACCTACCTTCAATTACCTATCATTTCCTATCTAATAAAACTTTTACCTACCTCCAACCAAACATACTCTAAGGGAAAGGGAATGATTTTTTTTAAAGAGGGAATCCCATTCTGTTTCCTGATTCCCTTACCCCGAACCAAATGCCCCCTTAAGATTACGGCGTAAGGGTAATTTACCAATTAGAAGGTGGGGTACAAGTGTACAACATGAGAAGCTATGTGTCTCACTTTTTTGCATGGAAAAAATACATTTAACATCCATGCTACACTTAGACCAAAAAATGTATCACATTTGTACACCACAATTATGCACAAACATTTTAATGTTTTACACCGACACAAGTGTTGGTGCATTAACAAAAATTTACACGAACACAAAGTGTTGGTGCATTAACAAAAATTAGTTTTACACCAACACAGAATGTTGGTACAAACCTACAGGGTATAAAGTGGGTACAAAAAACTTATGGTAAAATAGCCCTACATTTAATTTAAGGGTACCTAACCATTGTAGGCATTTATAAGATATGTAAGATATACTCCCTCCGTCCCAGTGTATTTGTCCAATTTGACTTTTTTGAGTCAAACTGGACAAATTTTGAGCTTCAATTAAATAAAAATCGTAATGTATCTTAACATAAAAATGACTTTATTGGATTTATCGTATTGAAAACTTTCAAAATTTTATTTCATAATGCTAATATGCAATATAAATTGAGAGTGATTGGAGTTCAAAGTTTGTCCAGTTTGACTCGAAAAAGTCAAATTGGACAAATACACTGGGACAGAGGTTATATTATATATATATATATATATATATATATATATATATATATATATATATATATATATATATATATATATATATCCCCCCTTATATTATAAGGCCCAACAAAGTTTTTTTCCGTGAAGTTGGTCCTTTTTCCGTCACTGTTCCGTACGCCTCTCCGTTAACTCACACATTCCACAAAAGTGAGACGCTATTAGCCTCTTTGCCGCCCACCGCCCCATGACATACACTGCTTTGGTGCCCATCGCCCCTCCACATACACTGCGTCGCCCAGATCCAAGTCGTCTTCTCCAACTCATCTACCTGTAATCAAGGTAATTTTATACTTTTTCTTTGCATTACACATCAATTTCTTCCTTTGTGGTTTAGATTCATACTTCACTTCCTATCTCCAACTCATTTACCTGTAATCAAGGTAATTTCATACTTTTTCTTTGCATTACATAGCAATTTCTTCCTTTGGGGTTTAGATTCATACTTCACTTCCTAATTAGTGTAATCTCCGGATGCCCGCTTACCGCGGAGCTCGCGGCCGTCTAAGGTTTGGAAATAGGGGGAAAAACTCTAATTGGGCTCCGGGTCTGAATCTGGTTTGGAGCGGGTTATTATCAGACCCATGAAGATCCAAGAATTCTAGTAGGCTTAGAATTAGGTGGTCTTAGTTGTGGACTTATTGACCATCTCTAGATCTGTCCACTCTATATGGACTCTTTATAACCAGTCGTCAGTTATTGATAATGGAATTTGATTTTTTGTGTTAGTACTTGCCATCATTGAATGATACTTTTCTTGTGTGCATTTCATTGGAAGCATCCACACCCGCTGCACACTTCCTTAATTTTTTTTTGAAATTAAAATTTAATTTTTTGTTACTTTCCTTTTCATCACTGCATGAATTCATCCATTATTTTTGCCTCACAATGCATACTTTATTCAACACATTATTTCTGTAACTTATTTCCTATATTAAAAAAATTGTTTTTTGATATCTTTCCTATGTCCTGTGGTACACGAAGAAGAGAATGATGTAGATTCTGTTATAACAAAACGATCTAAACTTGCCACTGTTCAAATCTCTATAATTCCTAAACTTATGTAGACATAAATTTCCAGATAAAAAATCCTGAACTTATGTAGACCTAAAAATCTTAAACTATTACTCTGTTTAAATATTACATCTATCCGAAGAAGTCATTCACAAAATAGAACTCTCTATAAAAAAAGTCATCTTTGTGACACCGGAATGAATGGCAAGCACGATTTTTTTTCCAGAATGAAGTACTACAAACAAGATGGTATTTTGGTTAAGTTAACCTATCCATCCATTTCAAACAATCTCTAAGCTAATTTAGCCATTTTAGCCAGATATTACACTCATTCAAAAAAAAACTTCTTCTTATTTTGATTTTGTTTAAAAATATTTGAAAACATTATATTCAAAAAATAGGCTGTTCAACAAAATCTATTCTTTAAGAAAAAATGATTTCAGTAAAGAGTATTTCTCAATATAGAGGTTCTATGATTTAAGGAGAAAAAGAACTCAACTCAAAGAATTTTTTAAAATAAACTAAGTGTTAACCTTATAATTTTTAGGAAAGTTTGATATGTACAGTTTAAGAGAAAAAATTATTCATTCCATTTTAGCCGTACCCCCTTTAAATGGGGAATGATGTTTTTAACTACCTATTGTTACAAGGATTAACTTCTTTTGGTTCTTAATGTTTGGCACTGGTGACTTAAATATGTTTGTGTCTGTTTGTTTGGGAATGTTTTCTACTCTTAGCAGTGTAAGCATTGGTGTATGTACTCTCAATTTATTCATTTAGCACTTTTTGCCTATTGTATTACTCTTTAATTTCATCAAGTGCGATCCTTTGATTATTCATCATTTTACTTATAACTGGTTAAAGATTCAATGGAAACTGGATCATCATCTACCCAGTCAACAGTTGACATTAATCGGCCTGAACAAAAGAACTTTAGGCATCGCCTTAGATATCGAGAGTTGCGCGAACGAGAAAAAACACCGTTGCAAATATTACTAGACGTTCCAACTTCTCGGTGACTTCTTCAACTCAAGGTGTTAAATTCAATTCCTTTATCATTTGTAATTTAATTTTACCTTTCTTTACGTTTTACCATATTTGCTAATTTTTCCCAAGCTTAACACACTCAATGTCACAATTGTAGTCAGATTGATGCCACCTAACTTCCAAGGGTGGACCCTTCTCACTTTAAATGTTTTAAAGTGATGCCACAATTGCAGTCAGATTATCCATTTATCACTAGATAATCGTAATCTCTTCTCACTTTATATGGTTTAAGTTTTAAGTATGAACTTTGTTTGGGCACCCACATACGTAGTATGTGCCTTGCTAGTGTGTGTGTGTGTGTGTGTGTGTGTATATATATATATATAGGGATTGACTCCGGTGAGATGCAAAGCTCACCACCGATCACTCCAAAACTCACCACTGATCATTGCAAAGCTCACCATGAGTTTCCAACACTTTACTTTTTTTTCAAATTTTGATGGTTAAATGCTTACAATGCCCAGCAACAAAGCTCACTGACTCTCATTGCAAAGCTCACCGAATATGTGCACAAAGCTCACCACACTTTAAAGTTTAAAATGATTTAAAAAAACAAAGGGCGGTGGTGCTGACTTCCAACCGTTACAGACTACCGCCGTGGACCGGTGGTTGATTGGTGGTGCAATTTAATTAGCTTTTTTTTAATAAAAAAAGTGGTGAGCTTTGCATTGTTCCTTTGTGAGCTTTCCATTGTCACTTGGTGAGCTTTGCATTGACAGTTGGTGAGCTTTACACTTTGACCACCCATGACCATTGGCCACCACCGATGACCCCCACTATCGCCGTGGATCGGTGGTGGAGTGGTGGTTGAGTGGTGGTTGAATGGTAGTGCAATGTTTTTTAACTTTTTTTTATTAAAAAAAAGTGGTGAGCTTTGCATTGACAGTTAGTGAGCTTTTCATTGGCAGTGTTGTGTGTCGTGTCATCTGATTGAAGCATGTCATCTTACCATAATGTGCCATCTCACTGGAGCCAATCCCATATATATATATATATATATATATATATATATATATATATATATAGACACACACACACACACACATATATATATATGTGTGTGTGTATATATATATATATATGTATGTGTATATATATATATATTTGAAAGGAGAGATATTTTATTAATGAGAAGAAAAAAAGGTACAAAGAGGAGGGGGTGGCCGACCCCAACATCAGGCCAAAGCAGAGAATAAAAATAAACCATAGAAAAACCCAAAGAACTAAAAAACAACGGGAGAGGACAGAGCTTCCAAGACAACCAAGAAAATGACAACAATCACTTGCTCAACTGCCATCTACTACCCAATTGGTACATGGCCTGAAATCCGGTCCTGCATACTGGTCCCTCTGCGTTTGGAGAAAAATGACACAGCTTCTCCAAAAACATCAAAATCCATGTTGATTAATTGAAAGAAAAAAGAACCCTCAACATATAATTCCCAATTACAAGAGTAAAAAGGACTAAGGAGATACACGATTCATGATGGAATCAAGATTATAAGCTGACCAAATTTTGGTTTAGGAAGCCAGAAGATCCCAACTCGAAAATCAGCATAACTGAAACTGCTGCATTGTGATTACTACCAACCTGAAGCAAAGCCAGGGACTCGAGACTGCCTATTCAAACTTCCTAAACCTTTAAACCCATGGGTCATATGCTATCAAGGACTACCAAAAGTGCAAAAGAGAAGCAAAATAATAGTAATCCAAAACTGGATGTGGAACCCAATAAGAAGAAGAAAATGAAACATGAACCTCTCCTCCCAACTCGAGCAACAAAAGTCAAGACCCCCAATATTCTCCAGTGTCGATAGAGCACTCAGATCGAATGGGAGAGGGGAGTCGCCTTCTCCTAGCAAGTCTTAAGCTTCTCCTTGGGGCAGGTGGGCTGGAACCACACACACAACCTCTTTCAAAAATTATTCTGCCCTAATCATTATTACGAATTAAGGCTGCCGTAAGTCCTTTAGGTCCTCCCCAACGTCAAAGATGATCATCAGGCTCAATACCGTCATCAGGATACCACTCTCTATATGGTTCCGGATTAGGATCAAATTCTGTTTGATCTCTGAAGAAAGGTAGAAACGCAATGTTGTCCTCCTTTACATAAATTTCAGAATCAGAGTGATAAGCACGAACAGAGGAGTGGTCATCTTGAGAATTTTCCACTAAAGGATAAATAGCCTGTATAGGTGCAAAAGATTCAACCAAAGCCAACTTATCTGAAGAGGCTTGCTCCAAATTACTATGAGCCTCGATAGGTGAACCAGGTTCTTCCTCCACTGTATTTTGAGCCTCTAAAGGAGAATCTGCAGCCATGGGATCCTCCAAGGAAACAAGATTACCATTCTCGTTACTAATGAGTTTGGACAATACAGAAGCAAGGGTACCAGAACCATCTATAAAAGCTGCAAGCTTATCAACATTAAGTTGTAAGAATTGAATCCAAAGTTGGGAAAAAATGTCTCCAAGTTTCTTGTCCTTGGGATCAAGATTGGTCCCCTCCTTGATTAGAAAAATAGAGTCCGAAGCTTTCTCTGCCGTGTTGGAAGAGGAGAAAGGGACATGGTTGCAGGAAGAAGAAGGAATCTCCTTGAAACTAGTGGAAGCCAGTGCCTTAGCAGATCTCTCATCATTACCAGAGGCTGAAAAGGAATCATCCGCCTTGGCCTGCGAATTGTTTGTGCTGGAGACTATAATCTTACCATAGAAGGAGTCAAGCGCATGCCTGAAAAGGAACGAGTTATCCCTATCCATTGGAATAATGACAGTATTGGTAGCAACATTCTTTGTAACAGAGATTTTCACATAAGAACCCCATCGATTAAAGCCATAAGAAACGAAAACATTCCTTCCTCCCTCATATCTAGAGAAGGTCCAAGAGCTCCGTAGAGCATTATTGGGAAGAATCTCAGTCAGCCATTTAACCTCAGCTGAATTCAACCAGACATGGAATGCCCTACGCCCAAACTCTGAGATGCAAAAATTGTTGTGGTAGAAGGAGTGAAAGAAGCGAAATACCTTATCCTCAATGCGAAATTGGAAGGATTTGTTTTTGCTAAGAAAACTTGGTCTGGATTCCTTCAGGTATCTCCACTGCGTATCATATCTCTTACCCCTTCTCTGATTGTGGCTCTGGATCCTGCGCTTTCTGCCTTTCGTTGAAGGGTATTGCCACCTCGAATCTTCGATTGGCTTTCTAGAACTAAAACCCCAACGATGTCCAGATGTTGAAGGGGGTTTGTAAGAGGTCTGGTGTCCATCAATCCGGCGAGATTCCCATTGTCGAAAGATCGGGTTGGGTTTCTGATCAAGATCGCCGTAATCCCTAGAGTATTCCCTCTCTCTAAAACCCATTATATATATATATATATATATATATATATATATATAAATATATATATATAATACATAAAAGATGCAGCGTCTCTCTCACTAGGTTACCGGTCGCCGCCGATGGCGGCAACTACCAATTCTCGTCCTCTATGGCTACAACGGATGGTACAAGTGCGTTTGCAGAAATCGCAGCTTCAGGAATCTTCAAATCGCCAACGAGATACAAAGGGTTACCATCAATCGTTTTCTCTGAAGACGAAATTCAGGTATTGTCTGCACGCTTCTCTAAAGCTATTGTTGGACGATTTAGCTCTGTGAGGCCGGCGCTGGCACGGATCCGTCTTCTTTTGGAAAAAATAGGCTTTGAATCAAGTTTCTCTGTTTCCCTTCTTGATGAACGCAATATTTTGATAAACTTTTCATCGGACAAGGATTTTTTGAGATGTTTGTTGCGCAAATCATGGAAATTGGATGGATGTATTATGAAGGTTTTGAGATGGGCACCAGACTATGATGCGGAAACAGAATCACCACTAATTCCGGTTTGGATTGGTCTCGAAGGACTGCCAATCCATCTTTTTGATTCATCAGCTCTCTACTTGATTGCAAATCTTATAGGGAGACCTCTGCGTACAGATACTGCAACCAAAAACCTTTCTAGACCTTCTGTGGCTCGGCTTTGTGTTGAACTTGATCTTTCTAAAGAGATACCAAAGGCTATATGGATACACCTAGTCAAACTCTCTTTTTTTCAACCCATTTACTACGAAGATCTGCCAGATTTCTGCTCGTGCTGCAAGCAATTTGGTCACACAAACTGCAAAGAAGGGGTTCGATCATCTAGATGGACTCGTAGAGATACCACAAAAACCAATGTGAATGCCCAAGGTATTAGCCAACCTAGGGCTTCTAAACCTCTGCAACAAGACACCAAATTTGAACAGCAGCTTACAACAGATCCCAAGGAAGCTTTTAGCGAAGTTGATATGGTGATAAATCTGGATACACATCAAGCAACCGACCCCAGGGTGGCACTTCCAATAGTCACTCCTGCACCAACAGACATTTCCACTTCTCCTCATGTTACTGCTCTCAGGCAGTACCCATCAGATTCTATGGATGGCTTAAAACAGGTAGATGAGCAACCAGAAGCTAAGGATATCACAAACTATTTTGACTTCAACACTACAAAAGACACCAAGGATGAGCACTTAGTGGGTTCTGTGACAGCCCAATATGAAATGGAAAATCAGACTAAGGAAGCAGATTTGGAACATACACAAGAACAATCAATTGAGGAAAGCATGGATGATAAGACTGCACAAAATGCTAACTATGTAGAAAATACAATCAACCTGGATGAATTTCCGGTACTCACAAGACATAACATGGAAGAGGATGTACACAATCCAAATGTGGAGGCGGTTGTACACACTCCAACCGAGATGGAGAAAGATGACACAACAGGGAATGGGGAGGCGGATGTACACACTCCAATCAAGATGGAGAAGGATGACACAACAGTGACTCTTACTCTGATGGCTGAAGATACAACAAAGGAAAACACAACACCAAACAATTCAGATGTTAACCCTGTCAACATTGGACCGATCCTCCACTCTTTTGAGCATGAAGGGCAACATTATGAAATTAGGTCTTACATGGAGGAAGGACAAACGTCAAACCACAATGATGAAAACCTCACAGCTCATGACTTCCAAGAAGTCTAGAATATAAGAGGTAAAAAGAAGCAAGCTATGCCAAGGACCATTAAAACAAGAGGCTATGATCCTAATCTCGAAGTCGGGACTGTGAGCAAGATCACGAGATACTGGCCCAGTCGCAAATCTACTACTATGGAGAAAATAGTTACTACCAAAACTTACTCTGGACCCTTTTGGTATGTTGGTCCTGTTGGTCCAATTGGCACTGATGGGAAAAGACCAAAGAAAATAATGCCTAGAAATCTCTCTCTCGATCAACACCCGGGTTTTATAATCTGGGAATGATATTTATCATGCTGATTCCATTCACTTCCCTTTTATTTTCCAATCGTCTTTTCATTTCATGCACTTTTAGAGGGGCATTGGCCTAGTCCTCCCTTCTTTGCACTCTTCTTTATTTTGCATTTTAATAAAATATCTCCTTTCAATAATATATATATATATATATATATGTATGTATGTATGTATGTATGTATGTATGTATGTATGTATGTATATGTATATATATGTGTGTGTATATATATATATATATGTATATATATGTGTGTATACACACACACACACTAGAAAATACCTATAATAACATTGCAAGTGGACAACATATAAAGGGATATATCAGCGAATATCTCACTAGTTGGGTTGATCCCAGTGGGTATGTTTCCAGATGACTATGTGTCTCCTAATCTTGATTATTTAATATTGTGATAAATCTAGGAAAAAGGGAGATCCCTCATTGCAGTTCAGAATGAATTGAAATGCTACGCTGATTTTATCAAGCAGTTCATAGCCTGTACTTTATGGCAAGCAGTAATCTGTGATGATCATGTTCATAGCCTATCCTTCCACTTCCTTTTTCTCCTTCCTTTTTGTCTCATGTTCTTGTTCTCTCTCTCTCTCTCTCCCCCATGTTCTTCTTCTTCGATCTGTTCTTTTCTCCCAATTTGCATTTTGTTTTTCTTCTTTTTCTTCTCTTTCTCTCCTTGTTCGTTCTCCTCCATTCTCTTTCCTTGGTATCTTCATCTCCACCTTATTATTATTATTATTATTATTATTATTATTATTATTATTATTATTACTACTACTATTATTATTATTATTATTATTATTATTATTATTATTATTATTATTATTATTATTATTATTATTATTTCTCTTTTCTCTTTCTCCCAGATCTATTTTTTTTCTTCTTCTCTTTCTCCTCCGTTTTCTTTCTCCTAAATCAACATCTTCTCCCCCCCCCTCCTCTTTCGTCGTCTCCCTTTCCCCTTTCCCACATCTTCTTCTTTCTCCTCTCTCCCACCCCTCCATTCTCTTTCCTTGGTATCTTCATCTCCACCTCTCTCCCACATACTAAGCCTGGCCTTGGTCTATTTTCAATGTCTCCAACAAAGCCAGAGGATGAATTGATGCTTTGGGATAGAAGAGAAATACATATACGAAATTTAAAACGCTATTAAAAGGTGAAAATTGTATAATTTGAATATATTTAGAAGAGAAATACATATTTTGAAAAATAAATCATTTTTTAAAAAGAGAAAGAAAATAGTAAACAGTTATTTTTGAATGAATAAAAAAAAAAATTAAAACGTACACTTTTAGAGGAAACAATTATAATTTAATTAACCTATTTAAGAAGCTTTTTGTCAGGTGGGTGGGGAGGGGGGGGGTACTGAGGGAATAAAAAAGAACACTAAAAGTTTGGAGTAAAAGAGAAAAAAACACACAGGCTCAGTGTTCAAACATACAGTTTTAGATGAAATAGTTATAATTTAATTAACCTATTTAAGATGTTTTTTTGTCATGTGGGTGGGGGGTTACGGAGGGAATAAAAAAGAACACTAAAAGTTGGGAGTAAAAGAGAAAAAAACATAGTGAAACTCAGTGCTATGGAGAATCTAACACGCAATCCGTCACAAGTGAAACTCGCAGGTGACCACTGGAGCACAAACACCATGTATCACACGAAATACAACTCATACACCCTATTAGAAGAACTGAACCTGAAAGCCTAATAAGAAGCTTACTCTATTAGTATAAACCATCACAATATTTGTTAGGAGTAAAAGTTGAAAAGCTAAACTGGCGACAAAACTGAAAGCTGAAAACTGAAACCCAATAGTGAAGTATAAATATATGTTAAGGATTGCTAATATGGTTAAAGTTTAACCAAAAAACATTTCAATACTGGCTAGCTTTAGGATCTTGAAGCATGTGGCGTAGATTTGAAAGACTATATCTGAATTACAAATACTGAGCATTCTCTTATTTGTTAAAGAAAAACCTTTGGACTCCAAACCAGTGACCATATAAGAAGGTATAAAAGGTGTTAGGCACCAGGAAGGAATTTTTCACACTATAAAAGGACAAAAGGATACTGTCATGCCATTTTTTAAATTCAACATAGCCTTGCTTTCCACTCCCTCAAGTACATATGGTAGTCCAATTTTAGAGATGAACAAAGAAAGGTTCATAACATGTGTGGTTGGGACCAGTTATACATTAGCTACAAGTTTAAGTAGTATCCGGTATATACCAGTTGCAAGGGTGGATAATGCTGAGTTTATATCAGCTGCAAGTGGGTTAGGCTATGGTTGTGACAAGGCCCTTGAAAGGGGATACATAGGTGCTAAAAAGGGGGACTGAACTATTTGTAATGGAGGGGATCAGAGATACTGACTCAGAAAAGTAACTGATGCACCCTAATCAAGAGAGCAAACAGATCTTGACAGTCACAAAGCAAAGAGTATATGGTTACAGAGCCTCGGACCTCTCTTGTTCTTTTTGAAGAGCTTCCACTCCCGTAACAAAATCAACCACACAATATTAAATAATTTTTGAAGATTACTTTACAAAATTGAAATGAAAAAACTAAAATATAACCAACAATAGTTCACACAATCACTACTTCAACATTCAATATATAGTTTAACACATACTGCTATTCAAATATACAAGCATAAAAACATCAATTCAGACACTGAATCTTGTTTTATCCTTGCATATATAGAAGCCTTTGCACAAAAACAACAATAATAGGCACAAGTTTCCATATAACAATCACTAGGATAAAAAGTGAAACCCAATACTGAATTATAAATATATGTTAAGAATTACTAATATCGATAAAGTTTAACCAAACAACAGATCAATACTGGGTTTTGAATATAGAAGCATATGAATCCACAGATTTAGGAACAACAGTAACACGCACAGGTTTCCAGATCAGATAACAATCACTAGGATCAAATTCTACAATATAGAATAGCAATTTACCCTCTCATATAGTCATATATTAAAGCACTTCGCCACAAAACCAATCTAATTTCAAGAGGTAAAAGGAAAATACATACCTAAATGAATCAATCAGGTCGTATGATTGAGAAGACGATGATGAACGATTCAGGAAGAGGAACTCGATCTGGCTAAACGATGGCAAATACGATGCTAAAGGACTGTTGGTCGAGGTCGTAGATGAATTGGCCGGATCGATCAGGAGAGGAAGATGCAGGTTGAGGTTTCAGATCAATTAATTAGGCGGGTGGATGAAAAAGTATTGCGCCAATTTTTCGTTGAAAAAATTTAGTTTTTTAAGGAGTAATATAATTGAACTTTTTCAAATCCTTATTTAAGGAGTAATATAATTAAGTTGAATAATATATAATGCACGTTTTTTTTAATTAAAGGCCACTTATTTGATTTTCCACACTTTTGTTATGTGGGTAAAAGAAATTACCTATAGCTACTCTTTTAAGTGCGGAGAAATGATAAGTGTTAAATTTTATTACTACACTTGGTAATGTGCAGTGAATTGTATGCGGCTAAAAGCCTCTTTTCTTGTAGTGATTGACCATCTAGACAAATGAAAAAAATTATTATAATCAATAAGATTTAAATCAAATTGAGATTACACGGAACAAAGTATGCTGGACTTTAAAGTTGGCCTCCCTTCAAAATAAAATAGACTATCATATTGGTGAACAACAAGAAAACATTATATTACAAAAAAAGGTCAGGCAAAAGGTTGTAGTTGCCTGACCTTTTGCACAAAAAATAGAAGGTCCATTTTGTATTCAATGCCAACAACATTCTCTATATGCTGCTCTAAAACATGTACATTACAAGAACAAACTTATTTTTATTAGTAACTTGAAAGGAAATTAGTATTAAAATTAAGATAAGAGGAAATTTAAAAAAATAATACATCATGAGTGAGATTTTAATATTGGAACAAGATTAGTTTTTTAATGGAAAATCGTAGCCTGTACCTTATTTGGCTGGATTAAAATATAGTGGCTCACCTTTGACAACCTTTATATTGTAAATTATTCTAAGAAAAAATTTATCCAACTTACACTTTCCAAACCTAAATGTTACTTTCTCTGGAGAAATAAAAGGATTAAATTGCATAATAAATAATCAATTTAGACGCAGGGTTTCACTTCTTGAATAAACTCAATTGAATTTTAAATGCTTTCATATGAACCATTAGACTAAAGCGAATTGCTTTTGGTGCAAAAATTGATGAAAAACAAAAACAAACATGAGGTGGAAAGAATTCCTTTTTTTATTAGCATAATCGATTAGTATTTACTTCAAAAGTATACAAAATGTGTATGAGAGAAAAAAAAGACCAAAACTTTTTTAGGAAAAAACGTAAATCATCCATAGAACAAAAATAGTTATAGAAGCGAGTATACTAAAAGTTTATATCAAACAACTCTAATCTTGCAAGCATCTAGGCCACTAACCCACAAAACCTAAGAACAAAAAATAGAAGAACGAAATCATTAATAACTCATATGAATAAGCACTGATATTATATTTTATAGAAAAAATTAGATTTGAAAATTCCAAGAGCTGTCATACCTAGAAAAAATTGCAAGAGGGGACGATGAATTATCCGTCTGCTGTGGATAGATTATAAGGAAGAGCAAAATTCCCCTCGACCATTACCCCATAACGAATCAAATTCTGAAAATTATTTGAAAAATCCAAAATACACAAGAGTAGTTGGTTGAAATTGTACGGTAGAAGCACCTCGTACATGGTAAGCAAAGGCGTGGAGTTTTTGTCGGTCACGGCTTGAATCTACGCTAGCAGAGCAGGAGAGTACGAAAAGTCAAGCGGTTGGTTGCTTCTCTAGAACACCAATGTATACCTTCGCTTCTAAATTGACGGAAGTTAA